CACTGAGGAGGGAGTTACAATAGTCAAGGAAAGAGATAACAAGGGAGTGAATAAGTTGCTTAGTGGTTTCAGAGGTTAAAAATGGGCATATCTTAGACATGTTGCGGAGGTGAAGTTTACAAGATTTGGACAGTGATTGGATTTGGGGCTGAAAGGATAGATGGGAGTCCAGGATTATACTTAGTACCCTGGCAAGAGGGGAGGGACAGATGGTTATATTATTGATCTTGATGGAGAAGTCAGGGGAGGGGGCATGGGCTGGAGGGAATAGTATGAGCTCCATTTTAGAAAGATTTAGTTTGATTAAGTGGAATGACATCCATGCTGATATGTCACTTAGTAGGTTAGTAAGGCGAGAGGAGACTGAAGGGGTGAGGTGAGGAGTAGAAAGATAGATTTGTGTGTCATCAGCATAGAGATGGTACTTAACACCATGAGAGTTTATCAAGCGACCAAGGCAGGAGGTGTAGATGGAGAAGAGAAGGGGTCCAAGGACAGAACCTTGAGGGACCTCTACAGAAAGAGGAAGTGGAGTGGAGGAGACAGAGTTATAGGTAACGCTTAAGGAGCATTAAGATAGGTAGGAGGAGAACCAGGAGAGAGCAGAGTCTCGGAGGCCAAGAGAGTGGAGTTTTTTTAGGAGAGGGGGAGGGTCAACAGTATCAAAAGCTGCAGAGAGGTCAAGTAATAAGAGTATGGAGTAGTGGCAATTGGTTTTAGCAGTTAGTAAATCATTAGTGAGTTTTAGTAGGGCAGTTTCAGTGGAGTGAGCAAAAGCCAGACTGTAAAGGATCAAGAAGGTTGTTGTCAATGAAGTAGGAGCTCAGTTGATTGTAGACTAAGTATTCTAAGAGTTTAGAGGTAAACGGGAGCAAGGAGATAGGACTTAAATTGTTCAGATTGGTGGGGTCCAGCAAGGTCTTTTTAAGTATGGGAGTGATCTGTGCATGCTTTAGAGGGGAGGGGAAGGTGCCAGTAGAGAGGGAGAGATTGAAGATGTGAGTGAGGGAGCATAGGATAGAAGAAGAGGGTGACCATCATAGTTGTGAGGGGACAGGATTCAGGGGGCACTTGGTGAGAAGGGCTACTGAGAGAATTTTTTTAGTGACCTCTTCAGTAGTAGCAAGGTCAAAAGAGGAAAGTGTTGAGGGACTTTTAGTAAAAGATATACTAAGTGGATAGATTTCTGTGTAGTGGTGATGCCCCTATGAATTGCATCAATCTTGTTTTTGAAATGATTGGCAATCTCGTAAGCAGTGAGTAAGTTATTGGGTGGAGGTGGAGAAAGTAGAGAGTTAAAAGTAGAGAAGGGATGATGAGGACTGGATGACAAGGTATTGATAAGAGTGACAAAGTAGGCTTGTTTGACAGCATGGAGGGAGGAATTGTATTTTAAGAAAGCATATTTATATTGGATGAATGCTTGCTGGGATTTGGCTTTACGCCACAGTTGCTCCAGTGCATGACTATGTCTCTTAAGATTTCTGGTGTCGTCAGTCTGCCACGGTTGTAATGGTCGGGGCCTGATACTTCGCAAAGTTAGAGGAGCAAGTGAGGCTAGTATGGATGAAAGCGAACTATTGTAGACAAATGTGGACAGGACAGGGGAGAGATTCTGTCATAGAGGTGGTCAGTTGCAGAGTGGAAAAGAGAAGGGTTAAAGTTGTGAAGGTTTCTGTGGGTAACTGTTTGCTGCTTGGAGGGATAGGTGTTTGAAGACGAGGACACTGTGAAGGTGATGAGATTGTAATCAGAGAGAGGAAAGGGGGTGTTTTGTGAGGTTGTAGGGAGTGCAAAGATGGGAGGAAACAGGTCTAATGTATTCCCATCAGAGTGAGTGGAGGACTGTGTCCATTGTGTTAAGGAAAAAGATGAGGTTAGATTGAAGAGTTGGGATGTAGCTGGGTTCTTCACATTAATGGGGATGTTAAAATGTCAAAGAATGATAGTGGGTATTTCAGAGGAGAGGAAGTAGGGTAGCCAAACAGAGACGTCATCAAGAAAGCACAACACCAGTCCAGGAGGCTTATAGATCACTGCAATCCTCAGAGAAATGGGAGAAAACAGCCAAATGCAGTGAGTACAAAAGAAGAGAAGGATAGAGAGGGAAGGGTAGGAAGGACTTGAAAGGTACTCAGTGGGGAGAGAAGCAAACCAACGCCACCTCCATTCTGACCACTGGGTCTGGGCAAGTGAGTCCAGTGAAGGCCTCCATAGGAAAATGCTGTGGGAGAAGCAGAATCTGATGCTTGAAGCCAGGTTTCTGTAATTGCTCGTAAGATAAGGGAGTGGGAGGCAAAAAGGTAATGGACAGAGGTGAGCTTATTACAGAAAGAGCGGGCATTCCAGAGTGCACATGAAAAAGGGAGGGTGTTTTTTTAGGAGTATGTGAATAGAGATTAAATTGAGTGGATTGCGGCTATTCCTGGAGGAAGAAGGGTGCCTGATATGGGTGTGAGACCTTGGAGGATATCCCCAGAGGTTTGGAGAAGGAGGGTGAGGAAAGTAAGATGGGAGCGGATGTATGTGAGTGCACATACCTTCCTGTCCTGGTGTTTGGGTCAGCGGGTGAGGAAAGTATCAGCAGGAGGTGATGAGAGCAGTAGTAGGGAGATGGTAGGAGTGAGGGATATGTATAGGCTTTGGAGTGGAGCACAGGGGTAAAGAAATTAGATTTTGAGAGTAGAGGATAGTAATATATAAAGGAAGAGTTATCATGTTCCTTCCACTTCACAATTACCGTATTTTTCGCTCCATAAGACGCACTTTTTTCCCCCCAAAAAAGGGGGGAAAATGTCAGTGCGTCTTATGGAGCAAATATGGAGCGGCCGGTCCGCTATTTCCAGCGCCGCCGTGTCAGAATACCGGGCCGGCCGCTCAGCTCTGCAGCGGGACCTTATGGAGATGACTGCTGACCTTTGGGGAGGTGGGGAGCGGGTACCTGAATTTGACAGGTACCCGCTCTTACTTCCGCGGAGTTCCTCTGTTAGGAATGGACTGGCCAGCAATGGTGGGACTCACCTGCCTTTGATCTGCAGTACCAGGGCTGGCCAGCGGGTGCTCCCAGCAATCAGAGACTCAACCTTTCAGCCAGCTAACACCTGGAACTGATGATGCTGGGGTATTTAAGGGATGGCCAGACCCACAGACTCTGCCTTGGTGTTGTGTTTGTCCTGGGCCCTGTATCTGGCCTGCATCCTGTTTCTGTTCCTTTGCTGACTTCTCCTGCTCTGATCCTGGCTTGTGACCCTGACCATCCCTCTGTCTGACCCTCTGTACTACGCTGCTTGCTACCTGTTCTGATCCCTGGCTTGTGACCCGGACCATCCCTCTGCCTGACCTCTGTACTATGCTGCTTGCTACCTGCTGAACCTGGCCTGTGACCCCGACCATTCTCCGCTTGCTCCCCCTGTACCTACCTGCCCAATTGATATTGACCCGGCCTGCCTGACGACGCTTGCTTGTATATACTGTTATCTGTGGGTGGTTTGGTTTGTTTGCACTGTATTATGTTTTAGTATTGCACTGCGTTTATGTTTGTACTGTTAGTGTTAATAAATTATATTGTTTATAACATATCTGAGGTCTGCGTTTCCCTGCTTCAGTCACACACCTCTGGTCATACCTGGGAGCCCTGACATTACACCAAGGCCAATCCTGACCAGAAGTGGCTGCACAGGGAAGCCATCTTGGCTTGTTGATGGGAAGGATGGATCTTGAGGAGGTTGAGTATTTATATCTGCTAGTGTTTGATGACAGGGAGTATGCTTATCAAACTCTGAAGGAGTATACCCGGGATGAATTGCTAGAATGTATACGGCTCGCTCATGTTCTAGTAGATCAGGGCACAGTGTTCTCTGAGGTGCAGCCATTGATTGAGGTTTGTGCAGAGTTGGTTTCATCTGGTTCCCCCGAATGCAGGGATGAATTTTTGCCACCATTTAGTGCAGACCAGGTAGAGTCCCTGGTGTGGTTATTAGAGGATGATGTGGGTTACTTTCTGGAGCGTTATTCCACATGTTCACCACAGACACTGAGAGATTGTATAAACGCAGTGCAGTCATTGACCAGACAGGCTTTGTGTAAGCTCAGCTTTGTTCAACCCATACTGCAGACATGGACAGACTTGTTGCACCCAGCCTCAGTCAGCTTACAAAGACCCAGTCCTGCTTCTAACTCTACTCCTGTATTCCCACCAGCTCCTCCAGTTACAGCCCAGTATACTTGGCTATCTACCGCATGTCAGTACCCTGTTCCCACTCGCTGCACCTATCCTGCTTTAACCCTGTAAAAAAGCACTCTGTAGCAACTGCTCCCTCTCCTGTTCCATCCTCCAGTTCTTCTCTGTCTCCAGCTGCTCCATTCGTTTGCAGACCTGCGTTTACTTGCAGTGCTCCCGTAGTTAAAACCAGAAAAAAGCGAAAATTCTTTCCAACCAATACCATCCTGCCAGTATCCAAACCAGTGAGCCTGCCTTCCGTGGTTCAGACTGATGCCTGTACGCAGCCTGATGCCTCTACTCGGCCTGAAGCCTCTACTCGGCCTGAAGCCTCTACACGGCCTGAAGCCTCTCCTCAGCCTGAAGCCTCTACTCGGCCTGAAGCCTCTACTCGGCCTGAAGCCTCTACTCGGCCTGAAGCCTCTACTCGGCCTGAAGCCTCTACTCGGCCTGATGCCTCTACGCGGCCTGATGCCTCTCTTCAGCCTGAAGCCTCTACTCGGCCTGAAGCCTCTACGCGGCCTGATGCCTCTCTTCAGCCTGAAGCCTCTACTCGGCCTGAAGCCTCTACTCGGCCTGATGCCTCTACTCGGCCTGATGCCTCTACTCGGCCTGATGCCTCTACTCGGCCTAATGCCTCTACCCAGCATGATGAACTGATCCAGCCTGACGATCCTATTAGGCCAGTTGACTCGATGCCCGCTGTTGATCCAGATGATCCGGTACCTGATCCGGTGCCCGCTGTCGTGCCAATTGACTCAGAGCCCGCTGTCGTACCTGGTGACTCGGTGCCCACTGCCTTGCCAGATGACGCGGTGCCCGCTGGCAAGCCAAATGACCTGATGCCTGGTGACCTAGTGTCCGCTGTCATACCTGATGACCCGATGCCCGCTGTCGAGCCAGACAATCCGGTACCTGATGACCCGGTGCCCACTGTCGTGCCTGTTGACTCGGAGACCACTGCCTTGCCAGATGACGCGGTGCCCGCTGTCGAGCCAAATGACCTGATGCCTGGTGACCCGATGCCCGCTGTCCAGCCAGACGATTCAATGTCTGCCCCGGTGCCCGCGGTCATGCCAGTTGACTCGGAGCCCACTGCCTTGCCAGATGACGCGGTGCTCGCTGTCGAGCCAAATGACTTGATGCCTGGTGACCCGATGCCCGCTGTCCAGTCAGACGATCCAATGTCTGACCCAGTGCCCGCGGTCATACCAGTTGACTCGGAGCCCACTGCCTTGCCAGATGACGCGGTGCCCGCGGTCGAGCCAAATGACCTGATGCCTGGTGACCCGATGCCCGCTGTCCAGCCAGACGATTCAATGTCTGCCCCGGTGCCCGCGGTCATGCCAGTTGACTCGGAGCCCACTGCCTTGCCAGATGACGCGGTGCTCGCTGTCGAGCCAAATGACTTGATGCCTGGTGACCCGATGCCCGCTGTCCGGTCAGACGATCCAATGTCTGACCCAGTGCCCGCGGTCATACCAGTTGACTCGGAGCCCACTGCCTTGCCAGATGACGCGGTGCCCGCTGTCGAGCCAAATGACCTGATGCCTGGTGACCCGATGCCCGCTGTCCAGCCAGACCATCCAATGTCTGACCCAGTGCCTGCGGTCATACCAGTTGACTCGGAGCCCACTGTCGTGCCTGGTGTCTCGGTGCCCGCCGCTCCGCCTGGGGGCCCGAGACCTGTTGCTCCGCTTGGGGGTCCAGCGCCCGCCGCTCCGCCTGGGGATCCGGCGCCCGCCGCCCCGCCTGGGGGCCCGAGACCTGTCGCTCCGCCTGAGGGCCCGAGACCTGTCGCTCCGCCTGGGGGTCCGGCACCTGCCACTCCGCTTGAGGGCCCGAGACCTGTCGCTCCTCCTGGGGGTCCGGCGCCCCCCGCTCCGCCTGAGGGCCCGAGACCTGTCGCTCCACCTGGGGGTCCGGCGCCCGCCGCTCCGCCTGAGGGCCCGAGACCTGTCGCTCCATCTGGGGGTCCGGCGCCCGCCGCTCCGCCTGAAGGCCCGAGACCTGTCGCTCCTCCTGGGGGTCCGGCGCCCGCCGCTCCGCCTGAGGGCCCGAGACCTGTCGCTCCGCCTGGGGGGTCCGGCGCCCGCCGCTCCGCCTGAGGGCCCGAGACCTGTCGCTCCACCTGGGGGTCCGGCGCCCGCCGCTCCGCCTGAGGGCCCGAGACCTGTCGCTCCTCCTGGGGGTCCGGCGCCCGCCGCTCCGCCTGAGGGCCCGAGACCTGTCGCTCCTCCTGGGGGTCCGGCGCCCGCCGCTCCGCCTGAGGGCCCGAGACCTGTCGCTCCACCTGGGGGTCCGGCGCCCGCCGCTCCGCCTGAGGGCCCGAGACCTGTCGCTCCATCTGGAGGTCCGGCGCCCGCCGCTCCGCCTGAGGGCCCGAGACCTGTCGCTCCGCCTGGGGGTCCGGCGCCCGCCGCCCCGCCTGGGGGCACGATGCCTGTCGCCCCGCCTGGGGGCACGATGCCTGTCGCCCCGCCTGGGGGCCCGATGCCTGTCGCCCCGCCCGGGGGCCCGGTGCCTGTCGCCCCGCCGGGGGCCCGCTGCCTGCTGCTTCGCCTGGTAATCCGATGTGCCTCTGCCCGGAGTCCTGCCCGATGTGCCTCTGCCCGGAGTCCTGCCCGATGTGCCTCTGCCCGGAGTCCTGCCCGATGTGCCTCTGCCCGGAGTCCTGCCCGATGTGCCTCTGCCTGGAGTCCTGCCAGATGTGCCTCTGCCCGGTGTGCCTCTGCCCGGAGTCCTGCCCGATGTGCCTCTGCCCGATGTGCCTCTGCCCGGAGTCCTGCCCGATGTGCCTCTGCCCGATGTGCCTCTGCCCGTGTGCCTCTGCCCGGTGTGCCGCTGCCCGGAGTCCAGCCCGGTGTGCCGCTGCCCGGTGTGCCAGTCTTTGATATCCCGCCAGTTGCCAGACCCGGGCGGTGGGACATTTTGCCCAGCTAGGACTGTTTGGAGCGTCCTGAGGCCGCTCCTTGAGGGGGGGGTACTGTTAGGAATGGACTGGCCAGCAATGGTGGGACTCACCTGCCTTTTGATCTGCAGTACCAGGGCTGGCCAGCGGTGCTCCCAGCAATCAGAGACTCAACCTTTCAGCCAGCTAACACCTGGAACTGATGATGCTGGGGTATTTAAGGGATGGCCAGACCCACAGACTCTGCCTTGGTGTTGTGTTTGTCCTGGGCCCTGTATCTGTCCTGCATCCTGTTTCTGTTCCTTTGCTGACTTCTCCTGCTCTGATCCTGGCTTGTGACCCTGACCATCCCTCTGTCTGACCCTCTGTACTACGCTGCTTGCTACCTGTTCTGATCCCTGGCTTGTGACCCGGACCATCCCTCTGCCTGACCCTCTGTACTATGCTGCTTGCTACCTGCTGAACCTGGCCTGTGACCCCGACCATTCTCCGCTTGCTCCCCCTGTACCTACCTGCCCAATTGATATTGACCCGGCCTGCCTGACGACGCTTGCTTGTATATACTGTTATCTGTGGGTGGTTTGGTTTGGTTTGTTTGCACTGTATTATGTTTTAGTATTGCACTGCGTTTATGTTTGTACTGTTAGTGTTAATAAATTATATTGTTTGTTATAACATATCTGAGGTCTGCGTTTCCCTGCTTCAGTCACACACCTCTGGTCATACCTGGGAGCCCTGACATCCTCTATCCAGCGGTGCGCTGTCTTCCCGGCTTCTGTAGTGTGGGCGCTGGGCTTGACAGCCGGGTGCCAAGTGCGCATGCGCAAGAAAGCAGTGCTCTTTGTGAATGGTAAGGTGGTACCTGGGACACATGATAGATCCCAGAAGCCGCCGGACCAATCACAAAGCGCAAGTGCTTCTCGCTCATGCGCACTGGGCACCCGGCTGTCATGCCGAGCACCCACACTACAGAAGCCGGGAAGACATTTTTTTTTCCTGTTTTCTGCCTCTAAAACCTAAGTGCATCTTATGGTAAGGTGCGTCTTATGGAGCGAAAAATACGGTATGTGCCACTTTGTGTTGGTCTATCACATAAAATCCCAATAAAATACATTTACGTTTTTGGTTGTAACATGACGAAATATGAAAAATTTCAAACGGTTTGAATACTTTTTCAAAGCACTGTATTGTGTTCCCTCACATGATTGGATACCAGCACCAGCTTCAGTGTACAGGGGCCAGCCACTGAATAGATCATGTTCCAGGGCCAGAATAGACCTCAGGATGCACAAGTATAGACAGAATAGGCTTAGAATGTTGGTAAGAGCAGGTTTAAGTATAGTTAGTATTTGAATGGAATTCTACTAGAAATGAAGGCATTTTTTTCCATTTGGAAAGAATAAGGAAGGGTTATAACCCCTGTAATTTTTTGCTATCTGTGTTCCATTGAGGACATTTCTCTTCACTTCCTGCCCTGTGGACAAAACAGAAAGTGATAGGAATTCCCTCCAAAGTGAGGAAATCCTTGGTTGTCACCATGGTCTCAAGAACTGGCGTCCTTTTTGGAAGATATCACTGTTCTGGTGACAACCAAAAAAGCCATCAATGGTGTTGTATTTTATTGACCGTGATAGAATCTGAAGAACATCTTAAAATATAAACAAGCAATGGCTTACACCTGTAAAACTGCAAATTATATAACTCACTTCATCGGCCACAACTCTCTTCTGGATGCAGCAAGAAAAGTTCAGAATCTCAGGTTTACTGTACATATAGTATATTGCTGTTTTTTTCCCTGTTAAGAGATTTCTGCTTATTTCCTGTCCTGATAACTAAATAGAAATTGAGAACACAGGAAATGTCTGAAAATCTATTCATATGGAGACACAAACCGCAATAAAAATTTAGCTTACGTTTAAGCCTTTTCCCCATTATACAAAACTAAACTTTACCTACTTCTAGGTAGAATTATGCAAATATAATTGCTGAGATAGATAAAAAAAATTTGGCCCTAGAGTGTATGGCAATATGTTTGGGTGACTATGGTAAGGACTGCAACAGGAAATGGTTAGAGTTTACTGGCAGCAACAAGAGATGGTAAGAGACTGCAGACATGCTAAAGGAGAAGGTCACACACTGCAGATATGCTACAGGAGATTGTCAGAGACTGCAAACATGATAGAGGAGTTGTAGGAGACTAGGCACATGCTTTTGGAAAACAGAGACTGAGGAAATGTTACATTAGACTACTAAAGATTGTGACTATTAAAGCCTTCAAAACCAAGAACGAAAATTTGGACCTCCTGTACAAACAGGGTGTCTGTGTGTATTTTAAGCCCTGTTTGCACTGCAAAGTTCCTGTCTTAATGTTAGTACAATGATTGCACTAAGAAATTAGTTAGGCTGCCCAGGCGGGAAGGGGTTAAGCCAGGTTCTGCATTCTCCTAGGCTCTGCCCCCCCCCCCAACCCCTGGCTGCTAATGAAAAGGATGAGGGCCCTGTTCGGAGATGAGAACTGTGGCCTGCATGGGAAGAGAGGAGAGGCACGGCAGAAAGACGTAATCATCAGCAACATTCTGAGCACCTTTTGGGGAGATCCCCCTGGAACCAGGACTCTTCCACACAATGGACTCTTACCTTGGAAGGTATGCATTAAGCAGCCTACATTTAGTTAATTAAGGTAAGACTGTTATTGCAATGTTGGATTGTACTGTTGAGAATGCTCATTAAAGTTCCAGTAACCATATCATGTCTGATCTGAGGTTACTGCAAAGGGGTGCATGGTTGTATATGGTGTATCACAAAGAACAGGGCCTGTTACACACCCATGGTGTGAAGAGAAGGACATGTAGCTGCTAAGAGTAACCAACACAAGGGAATGATATGGCAGCCAGCGGGAGTATGGTACCAGAAACAGTGACGCATTCTCTGCATAGTGACAGGAGCCATCTGATGTTTCCCCCCCTGGGCAGTCAGTGTCCCAGCTAACTGGGACCGCATATGCATGGCAAGGGCCCCAGGGACCAAGACGCAGGTAAGGAAGGAATTAGCCAAGTTGTGCACATAGGAGGTTCATGGTGTCATGGCAGAATCTGTATTCTATCCTGGGAGTGAGGTGATAGGAGAAATGGATTGATGGGACGGGACATTGCTCCGTGGTGTCTCCTTCAAAATGCCACATTCCAAGCTCGTGTATGTATTATGGGACCATTTGCAGCAAAGTCTCAGGGTATGATACAGTTGCACCAAATATACGGTTCTCTTCTAATCCGGGGTGCTGATTTAATGCTGAATTTGCTTGACCACGGCCCTGCCTAATCCCAACCATTAGCGCATATACCAGATGAAGAGAGAAAATAAAGGCCCCATGTGCACAGGTGA